TTCCCTTTGTTCGACTACAAATACTTTTGATTTGTTTACCGTTTTTTGAGTACTTGAATCTAATAATGATAGCCACCTGTTCGGAGCTGTTTAAAACGTTTTAAAAAGGCCAGCGGCAACCACAGCGTACTTCGAATTTTCTTGGTTTTTAAAACAGCACGAAACGACAAATGTTTAACGAATTACACTGCCGGCAAAGATGTGTAGAAGCATCGTTTTAGGCAGAAATTTTAAACCTATGTAAACAAAATCTCTATAAGCATGTGTCAACATTGAATATTTTTCCTAGTCAATGAGTCGCGAAATGATACTGCGCAGAATAATTTAAACATGGTTGAATATGTAGTTGAATATGATTGTCTTGTTACAACAAATTGAATCTTTCTTGGAAATTGCACACGTACGGTTGACTTTCAAATATAAAAAATGTGTATAGTCATCATATAAAATCTTTTATTCTTTCAATTTCCGAGTGCGATGGCTGATATATAGCCACAGTCAATAGATCATGGGGCTAAGGCCACCAAACCTTTAGCGCGGATTTTCATGGTATAACAGTATTTCTACAGACGGTTTCTCCATGCAGTAAGTGTAGTACCTTTATTGTTACTCTTTTATGCAAGATTTCTTTTGATGTCTTATTGTAATATAGAATTATTTTCTACAAAAATTCTCAGCTTTTGCCGATGTCAAAAACAAAGCCGGCCGGTTCGAGTATATATTATATATATATATATAGAAAGACACAAAAACTTAGCAAGCTATGTTTGGCATATTTATTACTATACAGTTTCGTACCACGTAAATAACGTGGCACTCTTCAGATAAAATAGTCTATGTTTGACCATGTCCTCTATTAACTATGGTTTGACCTATAGCTTCTAACGAACTTTTTAAATATGTACAGATGGTATAAAGGACGCTTATCTAATTACAAATCAATTAAAAACTGCGGAATTACCTTAATTGATTTGTAATTAGATAAGCGTCCTTTATACCATCTGTACATATTTAAAAAGTTCGTTAGAAGCTATAGGTCAAACATAGGCTATTTTATCTGAAGAGTGCCACGTTATTTACGTGGTACGAAACTGTATAGTAATAAATATGCCAAACAAAGCTTGCTAAGTTTTTGTGTCTTTGTATTATGCTCTGGTTATCCATTGAGCACTCTATCATTGGTTTTTATAACCCAACACAAACTATTATATATATATATATATATATATATATATATATATATATATATATATATATATATATATATATATATATAAGTTCAGAATAAACTGAGAATGAAACACAATCAAACCATACAACTCCATAAGACATAACAAGCAACTCCCCAGAGACATCCAACATTTTTGGAACAAAACGTATAACAAAATAGTAGCGTTGATACTGTGATGCATGTGTATTTGCAAAAATAAGACTTACATGTAAGATGTCTAAATCTACGCCATATCCCTTACAAATCCTAACGATAATTCGCTGAAATACAAGTTAGCCTGATATGTCATTAAGCAAACAAACGCTGGAGTTAATATTTGATATGCCGATTTTCGCTAATTTTAGACACATCCCAAAATATGCTCCCGACTTTGAACATTAATATCTCCGTGAATTTTTAAGTAAAATACAACTGTAATATATCAAAATCTAAGTTAGCCCTTCTTCTATTAAAGGCAAGTTATTTGTCTTTAAAAGCATTACTTGTTTAGAAGTTATTACGAATCAAACAGGAGTACTTTTTTTTGGGACACCCGGTTTATATATATATATATATATATATATATATATATATATATATATATATATATATATATATATATATATATATATATATATATATATATATATATATATATATATATATATATATATATATATATATCAAGAGTCTCAGGAGTAGTATATCAAATCACAAACCTAAGGAGGTAGTAAGTGTGTATTGCCCGATTGTACAATAAAACAAATTAAACTCCCGCGTGGTTTGTTTGAAATGACCTGAAATAGTTTAAAGAAAACACTTCCATGCATGATTTGAGAAAAGGCCCTTCAACGTCAAGAAATTAGCGAAGTCGGTTAGTAGTTCCTTCGCTGGAAAAGTGTTTTGAATTGTTTTCAGGTATAGTTCAGACACATATCACAACAGCGACGTCTGGTTGAAGTGAGCCGTTAACTTTACAACCAGGTGGCGTGGAAATGCTTGGTTGCGCATGGTTGGTTTGGCTTCTCGTCAGTTCAACCACCATGATGAACAGACAAGATGAATAAATCCAGAATAGCAAAGTTGTCAAAGGCGATTAGGTCATTTTGACGGCTCGGGTTAGCAAAATCACGCCGTAGGACAGACGTCTAACTACTTTGCAACCAAGTTAGCCATCGAAAAAAAAAGATTTGTTACTTTTGCCAAATTCCAAACAATTTATCCTTGCCACCAGACGCCTGCTCTGCATGAGCGCTTGAGAGAATAGACGAACTCCAGTGTGGAATGGTTAATAATTTATGGGCCAATCAGATTTAGTAAGACTTGTCAAGTAAGCTAGGTTGTCTGTGATTGGCCGACGCCAGGCTAGCTTAAAGTCTGCCTCAAAATGACATCATCATGGGGATATTTGAAAAAGTGCAACAACAAAATCTTATCAAATGGATTAGACTGAGCGAGATCGACCCGGCTACGTTCAAATAGTGGGATTTTACCTCATTTGGCTCGTTGGAAAAATGCCAAAGTCTTTTCTGATCAAGCAAAAAGCAGTCAAGAAATATTCCCGCGGTCAATGTTGCTATCCAGGTACGTCTAGCATGGTTTAATTTTTTGTTAAATATATCTTCCTTCCCACATCCAACGCAAAGATAATTGATATTTGGAGTTCTAAAAACCTTGCTTCGACGCACTTTTTTTCAAATATATTTATATAAGACTTTTGAGAATTGAGAATTAGGATAAAACGACAATCAAAATGAATGCAAATTTTTTGGTAAATATTTATCTTGATTATCACAGTTGGACGCAAATGTATAGTCGATAAGTGTTTTGAAAGTATTTTCTCCAAGTATTTTTTATACATCTAAGACGTCTAAGGGTCTTTGAAAATTAGACATATATAGCTATAGAATCATGCAAGGGATCATCATTATAAAATAATTTTCTTATTCGATTGATCGCACTTGAGTTGAGCGCAGAGCGAAAGGTATAGTTGACCACAACTCGACGTAGTCGTTCAAATATTTTTACCTAAGTGAAATTACCTTTTAAGCACTTTCATATAAGACCAAGTGAAAATCCGGAGGCGAAAGTCAACAAAGTAGAAATGCACGCAGATCAGTTTAAAATCAACTCGTCGTCTATCACGGTATCTCCACATTGACCTTACGTAATTCTTGTACAAAACTGAAACTGTTGAACCATGACTGATAAGCAAGCGAACAAATGAAAGCGCAAGATGTTTTCGCACAAGATTCTCATCTTCACAAAGCCGTCATTTTTTCTTCGCCTCGGGCTATTATATTTAGACCAATTCGGTTTCTCGCAGTATATATAGTGGATGAAAGAAGGATGATTCAGACGTTTCGGTGTCAAAAATGTTTAGCCAAAACAATTGGGGGGACTGTGTCGCTCTGCTGGGGGCACCGGGTAACAATTCAAAGAGAACATTCAAAATGGCCGACAAATTATGTTTTTAACTTCATATTTTATATTCATATTAAAATTTAGGGAAAGTACGTGATTTACTAATTTTCAGGGGATGTAGCTAAGACCGACCCTTCAAGAATTCTGTGACATTCGGATTAGACGCGGACTACTTCGGATTATAATTCAGATTATGGTCTGTAAATGTGGGCTAGATTTCTGTTACATTTAATTTATATTTCGACTAAAATGTTTTAAAAGTTGTATACGAGGATGCCGTCAAACGTTACAAGCGTTATGGAACAACGGAGTAGACCATTTAAATATATCCCAAAAAGCGGATGAATCAGTATTGTCTATTGAGCATTTCAGGTCAAATTATCTAACATGCAGAAAATTTCGGCTCTTTATTCTGATTTCGTATTATGTAAAAGATTCTTATTAAAACATTAAAACACCAATGCGCCATAGTTGCCGTTTTGTTTTACTAGTCTACAGGCAGATCATTTTTTTCGTCATGGGAAGCTAGTCATAGAGATTATAAATAACACTAGAGGAGGCATCGAGTTTAAAAATTGGGAACGCAGCTAATGGGGGGCAAATTCAAGTCCCGGATACAAAATCGTGCTCTCATTGGCTGATTTGAAACTGGTCACCAATGGGAACACGAATACACATCCGGGACTTGAATTTGCCCCCCAATAGTCGCGTTCCCTTTTTTTACTGAATTAAGATTACAATGCCTCCTCTAGTGTCAACGGATGAGTGTCAAGTCAAGCGAGCGCAAAAAGGGTGACTGTAAATAGTTTGTAATCAGGTGCCGCTGAAGCAAAGGGCCACACTGGCACTGCCCCCTCCCCCCGTCTCGGCGGCCCTGCTTGTAATAGCTTGACTGTGTATCTTAACATGTCTGTCTGTTAGTTCATGTATCCCATAGAATTTTATTCCTCACGCAAATGCCAATTTTTCATATTCTCTGTAGACTATGCTCCATATTTCTGTCCCGATGATGCTACGACGGAGCTCGATAGTCCTCCGTTTGGTTACGAGAAGATCTACGATTTGGGCCGAACACGCGAAGCGCAGGATGACCACAAACTACCTGAAACGGAATCAACGCCTTGGAAAACGCAGCAGCCCAATCACTTCGAAGGAACACACGAGCGGGACCACAGAGTAGCCGAGAGGACACCAAACTCAACAAGTCCCCAAACACCCTCGATGTTCTATGATAACCATTGGATAAATCAATCCATCCTATTCCCCTTCTCATTTCATGATTTTGAAATGAAACCGCGCGCCGAGGGGACTGAAACCGAATCTCCAGAAAATTCTAAGAATCATCTTCAGTGTGTCACGTGCAAAAAGGATTTTGACACACGCGCGGCATTGGAAGAGCACGTGAAGACCACGCACACGAATTCCAACCGAAGTTACACGTGTCAGTACTGCAGCAAATCTTTCTCCCGTTCTTGGAATTTTCAACGTCACGTGTTGATTCACAAAGGTAGGGGGTATTTTCTAGAACTGCAAACAGGTTGTAACCAGTTCAATTGTCATAGATAATTGTAGTAGAATTAATCCGTACTAAATTGTGTGAATAATTAACCGTTATTAGGAGAAAAGCCTCACAAATGCGAAAAATGTCCGAAGGCGTTTGTGCTGGCCGCTCACCTCAAGATTCATAACCGCATACATACCGGAGAAAAACCTTACACCTGCGAGGTGTGTTCCCGGGGATTTGCCCAGCTCACCAACCTTCAGCGACACGTGTTGACCCATACCGGGCAAAAGCCCCACAAATGTTCGTACTGCCCCAAGGGATTCGTGAGCTCCAGCGATCTCAGGAGGCACGTCAGAACGCACACCGGCGAAAAACCTTATCAGTGCAAAGTCTGTCCGAAGGCGTTTACGACATCGGGGAATCTGCATTCACACATGCTGACGCACAGCGGTGAGCGTCCGTATCATTGCAAGATTTGTAAATGGAAGTTTATTTCATCCAGTAATTTACGTACTCATATTAGAATACATCACAAAAGGCCCGCAGGGACACCTTAAGATAGTAAAGCCCAGGGACTAGGGCACATTGTTGCGGAAACATTGGTTCCCATCAATGTTTCGCCATGTTTCCCAGCGTGGACAAACACTAGGAAGCATTGGCGAGAAACATAGCCATATTAATAGGGAAACATTAAATGTTTCTAAATTTGGTAGGAAACATTTTTGCTTCCCGGGAAGCAAATTTTGTTTCCGCAACAATGTTTCCACGGGTGGGCAAACATTTGAGGAAACATCGAGAATCAAACAAATGTTTCCGCAACAATGTTTCCTAGTTTGCCCAGGGCTTAAAGTTATAATGATCTTTAACTGCATAGTTATAATATTGACTGTCTGTGCCAGTGCCAATGGTAATAATAACAAGCTTTCGTTAGTAGGGATGCCGACTATGCCTGACTCAACTACAAAATAGACCAATCCCCAATTAACCAAAATTTTGATCTCAACAAGTCTAGACAAAAATTTCATCACGGCTTGAAAGGGCATCACAAAATTAGTAATATTCCAAAGTTTCGTTGCGAAATGTTGTAAAATGCGGATAATATAGCCTTGCGAAGTTTGTAATTTTCAGTCATTTTCTATTACGCACGGAAGTGGTAACCATTTCCAGTTTGTAATCTAAAATGACTGAAAATTGCAAATTTCGCAAGCTAGGCTATATTAACCGCATTTTATAACATTTTGCAACGAAACTTTGGAATATTACTAATTTTGTGATGCTCTTTCAAGCTGTGGTGAAAATTTTGTCTAGACTTGTTGAGTTCAAAATTTTGATTAATATGGGATTGGTCCATTGCATCGATCCCTACCAACGAAAGCTTGTTGCAAGGTTGTTACAACAAGCTGGGATCAGGTTGTGGTTGCACTACTTGTTGAGAAGTTGTTTTGTGCTTTTAACAAACTTGCTATATGATTGTTCCATCCTAACTTATCGACAAGTTGTTCCACGACAGACTCGGTTCCAACTTGTTATACAACCGCACAACAGACTTGTTACAAGTTTCGTGTAACAAGTCGATCACACTGTTTGTTGCCAAGTTGTTGCATCAGCCTACAACAGATTTGAAAAGTCGATACGAGGTCATGCTCACAATGCCTGTTACCAAAATGCAGCCAGCAAACCAGTATTCGCACTACTGGTTCCCATGTAGATGAGAACATACGACAAGATTAGGAATCTATTTGTCCAAAATGTGTAAATAGACCTTCATCTCCCGAAGTAAAATAATGTAAAAATTGCGTGAACGATGAACATTTAATGTACATTAGCAAATAAATATTCTACAAACTGTAATATTTTGTACACAGAAGAAAATGTAAAAATTGTGAATACATTAAACAAGCCATCTGTAAGATGGTAAATGCCCGTCTCTAATCTGCTTGTAAATCTGTTTCTATAAAGTTGGAATTTGCAATTCGCGTAGCACCTTAGAAAACTTTACTATATACAAAGGAATATCATATATCTAGTTTAATTTGGTCAGGTTCGTCGAGACAATCGCTTGTATTCTAAGAAAAGCTCACTCGCACTCAAAGAGTGGAGGTTCAACCTGAGCTTCCCTTGAGTGTCAGTGCTGTTTTTGAATAGCTGGAGGGTTAGTGTCGTTAACAGGGTTTTAGCCAGGATTTCGAAAGTGGCCGTCCAAAATAATTTTGTGGGCGTGGCCACATGTTTTTGGGCGTGGCCGCAATTTTTTGTTGTTGTGGAATTGTGGTGTTCTATTCGTTGAACCTTCTTACTTTTGGTTTTAGATGCACATTTCCGTCATGAAATTAGTAAAAGCACACGTATGGTATGCACGTTAGTTATTTTTATCAATCACCGATATTTTCCCCCTTTTTTATGCGTTTGGCTCATTTTGTAGCCATCTTTACCGTAAGTATGTGGCGCTCGAGCGATACTTCAATTCAGCCATATGTGTCGATACTTCAATTCAGGACGGCCGCCTGGCTAACACCCTACTGTCGTACCTTACCATGTGACTACTCACTCTCCAGCTATTCAAAAACAGCACTGACACTGAAGGGTAGCTCAGATTGAACCTCCACTCTTTGAGTGTGAGCAAGCTTTTAGAATACAGGCGAATGACCGCTTCTACCATAAACCGGGCCGACGAGAGCTTCACATGTGGTCAGTCGAGTCATTGATATGTCGGATGTGGAAATTGACGACGTATTCTGCGTTCGTTCTCTGGACAGAGATGCCAAATGGTGCAAAAGGATGGAATGTGAATGCCACCAAACGTCGAGCTGATGGTGGCGATGGTCGACCCAGGAATAATATTGTGGAAATAACAATTTTAATTATTACACTCAATTTATTTCATTAGGATTTCAATACGTCACTGTTCCTCTAACAATGTGTGACAACCAACTTTATAATATAGCATTTTGTAAGTTCTGAACGCTGATTAATTGGCTAAGAGCCATGTTGATATAACTCAATGTCAACACGGAAACGTCAGAAAATTTCTTTCTTTATGTTTCTTTGTGTTATATTATAAAACAAATATAAAACATTTTTTCTGTATTGATATACAGTTATATCAACACTCGTGGAAATTGGGAAAACTCGAAATTGTGTGAAAACACTCCGCCCTTCGGGCTTGTGTTTCTCGTTTTCCCAATTTCCACTCGTGTCGATATAACTGTATATCAACACAGAAAATGTTTTATATTTGTTAAGTCATCAACAAGTCTCTGGCACTCAATGAGTTATCAGTCTATCTGCCCATGAGTTTTGTTAACTCTTTAGGTGCCATTGCATCCTGATGGCGTGATGCACCCTACTTTGTTATTTTACGCTCTCATCAAGGACAGAGTGCTGATGCTGATTGTAAGAATGAATTTTTCAACAAAGTAATTCACCTGATTGGATGATCTCCACATGCCTTGGGTCTCTCCATGACTGACACCCACTTATCATCGTAGCTAAACAAAGACAGATCTAAGTAGGGACTGCTGCTGTAGGACTGCGAGCTGATCGGTAATTGAGCCAAGAGCCTCTTGATTGCTTCGGTTTGTCCGCCATATTTTGCATTGATGATTGTGTGCTTGAAACGTCTCAGAATCTGCCGAGCGTGAATATTACTTGATGCCGAGCAAGTGAACTGGGCAACCGCATGAAGCATTGCATTTCGGAAATGATCGCAAAATTGTTCAAATAGATCTAGTAGTTCTTCTGAGGTGTTCTCGTAAACGGACAGTATCTCAGTCGTTTTCATGTTGTAAATGACAAAAAATGATGGCTGGGAATTAGGGTCGTTAGCACGGAGGGTAACAACGTCTTCGCTTGCATACTTTATAAAAACATGATCCTCATCCAGTAATTGCATTTTCCACATTTTTAAGTTTCGAAACAAGTCGAAATGCTGGTAGAACCTTCTAATCGCTAGAAGAGTGCCGATACTCTGAGCTCGCCGCCATAGAAACACAAGCAACCGATGCTTAAGGCCATTAATGCACTTCTCGTTATAAGGCCTAAATGGACGGTTCTCCTGTGGTCGTACTGCAGCAGACATCATTTCATCATCCTCGTTACAAAATCGTCCAATCGTCCGCACATCGATGAACCGGCCGTCTGAGGTGACTTGAAAAATATGAATAGTTTGGTGTTGCACAGACAACACTGCTAATAAATCCTTGTATAAATATAGGCCTTGGTTATGAGACAGAAATATTTTGTCGCATTTAAAGGATCTCGAGTCGGACAGCATTCCAGTGTAGAGATCAATCAAATGGAGGGTGTAGTCCTCTAAGGCACACCTTTGATGATGCGGGGTGACAGATTCGTTATTCCGATACACGTCATAGAAATAAGGGTGGGGGTCCTCCGGCAACTGGCAAGCTGAACAGACTATTACATATCTTCCATCGTCTGTAAACAGACTACATTCTCGGTTTAGATGTTCGTTGTTAGGGGCAACAGTCGTGACTGCAAGTTGGCGGAAAAATTGCGAAAACAACTTGCTGCGTATCGTGGAGGAATTAACCTGGGGGTTGGCGAGCATTTCTCCTGCGGCACTTGCACCTTGGAACTCATAAATTTCCAGTGAGCTTTGGTCGAGGGAGAATGCAACAAAATGTCTGCCATCTGGCGAGAATTTCCTTAGAAAACATGGCGGTTTTTCAACGTTAACAATTGTAAAATTCGGAAAGATATTTTGATTAAAAGACCTTGCCTGGTGGAAATGAGTCCCTGTCTTGCACAGATGTGTCTCTCTTTGGCGAAGTTTCCAAACGATATTCTGGTTCTTAACGCGTCTTGGTTTGAATTTCAGCGGCCCAGAGGTAAACGATTGATCCATGAAGCTATTGAATTGTCTAAGATTTGCTATTGAGAGCTATTCAGTGAACAAAAATGAACAATTTTGAATGAAACAATTCAAATTTTATTAACATCCATTTTCAGCACCTGTGTGCGCCCACTGCGCCGTCCAGATTTTTCCAGCGGTTATTACTCTGGAGGATACTTCATCTTATCGGGCTATAATGGCCTCTTCTATAATGGCGAACTTCCGAGGCGTTCTTGCAACCGGGTTTCGGGGAGCGGGAGGGGAGAGGAGCTGAGGAGGTGAAGATCCTGATCATGAGCACAGAATATAGATCCTTATTCTGTGACCTTTAGTATCAAGGCTAGTTTCCAGTCAGAAAATTATCCGTGGATTGGAACGGACAAGAAAATTTTTCTTTGTGTTCAAGTCATTAGATCCAACCCAGAGCTCACAAGACAGGAAAACTTTCTTGCCCGTTCCAATCCACGGATAATTTTCCTGAGTGGGAACTAGCATTCAGATGTATAAAACCGGATGAAGCGAGGATGAGATTTGGTACTCATGCGACCTTGGTTATAGCCATCCTTAATGCTTTCTCAACACTAAGTTGGAATACTCCTCAAACCTTTATGTTGTCCATCTAGAGCTTGAAATATCTAACTGCCAACTCTCAACTGGTGTACATAACGACCAAAAGCATGCATGCTCTATATCGCAGAGCGTTTTAATTTGTTAAGTGGTGGGGGCTTTGAAGCTCAGGGAAAATGGGAGGCAAAGAAAAAGTATTCAGTCAGTTTTAATATTGAATTCAGTGGCGGAAATTCACTTTTTCCGGGGGGGGGGGCAAAGCCTCCTAAATTTCCGACAAAACTCTCAAATTTCCGACATACCCCCCCCCCATTTGCACTCGAAAAGACTGTTTTTAGCCCTCTTTTAGGTCTAATTTCCGAAAATTTGTCAATTTTCGCCCCCCCCCCAAGATTTCCTCCACTGATTGAATCATTAGCCACTCCATTGAATGAATGAATTAGTTATTCTATATATACACTAATGAATTCAATATAGTGTCTAATGATTCAATAAACTTACTGTCGTGGCCTAGACAGAGAATGATCACTTGTGCTATATGTGGAATACAGAGTCCCTCAAATCAGATAAAAAGGCCCCAAGTGCCTTCTACATGCGTAAAAACGCACAGCCTTGTAACAAGTTGTTACAAGTCTGTTCACAAGCTGTCAACAAGTTGTGTTCGCACTGCTTGTTCCCAGTTTGTTGGAACAAGTTTGGAACAAACTGTTAACAACTTGTAACAAGCTTGATGGTATTATCAGCCTTGCCCTTGTTACAAGACTGTGCTAACAGGTTTGTTACAGCCATGATATAACAAGGATGTTACAAGTTGTCAACACATGCAAGGTTGTAACAATCTTGTTATATCAAGCATGTAACGGACTTGCAGAACAACCCTTGCAACAAGTCAGATAATTTCGACAAGGTTGTTACAAGTTGTCAACAAGTTGTTCCAAACCTGTTGACAAGCAGTGCGAGTATATCTTGACAGCTTGTTGGCAGACTTGTTACAAGATGTGAGATTTTGGCGTGTGTACTAATTCTCGGGACTTTGTGTTCCGGGTTCACCACACGAGACCATTCTTTATCCTTATACATGTTAAACCACAGTGTCCCAAAAATACTTTTGTAAATCATTGGAAGACGCAGGGCAACCAAGGCATACATACTACAGTTTTGAACTATATACAGCTTAATTCAAAAAGGTCGTCCTTTGCAAACCTTAAACTCCAAACCTTAAACCTTAAACTCTAAGTGTTGAAAGCATAATGGAGCACCATTTGATCAGGTTAGAATCATATATGGGGTCCATTTCGCGGGCCGGCCCTGGGTACGAGTTTGCGTAGACGTGGTAAATATCTCATAGCTGCAATATTCAACTACTAAGCTTGAAACTTGTGCTCCCGTACGCTTTGTGCGCATCACAAACGGCTTATAGTTTAAGGTGTGCAAGGACCTTTTTTGAATTGACTGTGTTAGGAAAAACAAATTGAAGATCCTGGGAACGAAGTTGAGCCAGAACTTGTCAAATGCTGACAAAGATGCATGTGAACGACTGCAAAACTAGTTACGTTGAATGACTTGAATGTATTTTTATTTAATTCAATTTTACTGCCAATAACAGGATAACAAAAACATAAGATAAATTTGACAATATTTACAAGATGTGCCTTTGAATTCTATTACAAAGATATTCAACAAATTTTGCTTTACACCCTTATGTATGTCTTTGTGCTAATTTTTCATCATACTTTGTAATACAGTCAATAGCAATTTAACAATAAAATATCAACAAAATAATTTTAAAATATATGTTCACATTTGAAGATTTTTTCTTTTTTTTTTTACAAGCTTGGTTATCATTTTAATTTAACAAGAGTAATGGAGGTTTTACTTTTTCTTAGGCTGGGTCAAACGAGGATGAGAGTGCACGAGAGTTGGCACTAGTCACGTGACCAACCTTGCTTAAGCCTTGTTTCCATATGGTCGTAACAATAGAGTCACGATCTGTCTCAACAGCAAGTTTATAATAGTTTATATCTGTAAACCACATATAAATCATGAGTATTCTCTAGTTATTATCACTTTTCATGAGAAAGATCGTGACTCAATCTTTACGACCATATTGGAAACCCGGCTTTAGTAACATTTCTTATCTTTTATTGTTTTCTCAACACAATCCGGCGTACCCATAGTACGAGATTGTTCCCAACACTGTCATGCATTTTATTTAAGTTGAAACATAAATTCAGTATGAAGTGTTAAACTGACAATAGTTGGAAAAACTCAAATTTTTTATTTGTCAAACTAGAGATTGAAACATCCTTCGCAACAAATTTAAGTTCAAAATAGTGCTAGAAAGAGCTTGAAATGTCTCCGTAATAATGCGTGAACGCAAACTTTCATCTACTCTAATTCTCGTTTGGCAAGAACTCTGTTATCAGTAACAATGTAAAACAAGTGTAGCTCAATAATAAATAAGCAAAGAAAAGAAATATTATTGCATTAATATATAACAAATTGTGAAAGTTACAGAGAATACACCATTGTGCTTACACACAACAAGACATGAAAAAAGACGTATTATGGGGTGTTTTCAATTCAAAACTAATGTTATTTCGAAAGTGTGCATTATATATACGCCGTATCTTGTTAATTTTCTGCTGAAGATGAATTGGAATGGATTCAAAATATTTTTTTAAAATAGATGTGTTGTTAAAATGCACACTTTTTCAGAATAACACTAGTTTTATGTTTTCTGAAACTATCGGTTTAATATTTTAATAATATCTATAAATATATTTTAATAAACTATCGGTATAAATATATTTCAATATATTAAAATAAAAAATGCTCAAGTAAACGTTGACCAAAACTATCGACAGTTAACATATGTGGATTTCGTCAACAACAATCATTTGTCGTAATTACGTCAAGACAACGTTGGAAGTTGATTTACAAGTCATCAATTGAAAGACAAAATGGGCAAATACAGTGAGCTCTATATATATCTGGAGTAAGAACTTCAGTCATTCGGCCTATGAGAGAGGTGAAGCCAAGATGGCGGCCATTGACGTCCAATAGCTCTGAAGGTCGCAAACAGTTTTTATACCATTTTCCCAGCTAATTCCAGTTTTTTCTAATGAATCGTATCACTAATCAAGTTTTCAGTTCGTAAAATCACAATATTATTCTTTAAATCGAAGTCAAAATACGAAATTTCAACACACTCCTTGCCAAGATTGCGAAAATTGAAGGAGCTCTTGGACGTCAGTTACAGTCCCTTTCTATTGTTTTTGTCTGCGCGGTTAACACGAAACTGGCTTCACTTTGAGCAACCAAGTTCCTACTCCAGATATATATATGGAGCTCACTGGGCAAATATAAGGATCGAAACGTTCTAGGACTAGGTTTTACTTTAGTATGTGGATGAAAATTTCGGGTGTAAATTTCACATATTTCGTTACACAGGCATCACCCCTTAGTATAATGAATTTGCGCGTTTAAAAGCTCGACAACTAGACTCAAACAGTTCACTAGATTGGTCAGAGCGCTGCGATGGAATCAGTAGGACTGCAGGATCGATACCTGCTCCTGGTCCGAAAATGTACAAAAATTAGAGTGAATGAAGGAGAAAATGCTAGTAATTGAAATTATTTTAGTCGAGATGTTTCGTATCTAAAATAATTTGGTACCAACATGTCCTTTCCCGTGATGTATATGCATGCAGTACATATAAATTCCATGGTAAAATATCTATTATATAATTTTCAATGAACAAGGGGGATTTGAATGGGAACGAGTTAAAAAGAAGTCGGAAAATCATCATAGCTCTCTGATACCTCTTGGTAAATTATGAATGCTCCCTTGGAATATATATCGAGAAATGCAATAGTACACACGTTTATTATTTTGCAACTTTGAGACAAACATTGCAGCTTAACGGGTAATATGTTCTGTTCTATTGTAAGGTGGAATTCTACATTAGCGATGAGATGAGGACAAAAGAATGAGGTCATCATTAACAGTTCCGATCAGGACCAACAGTAAGAAAGAGGTCATCATTTTCAGTTCCGATAAAGGCAAAAAGAAAGAGGTCATCATTATAAGTTCCGATGAAGACCAATATATATATATATATTTTACCAAGCTACCATTGACATGTATCTATATCTATGTTATTTGATAAGAGTGGCCTGTGGCCCGATACGGAGAAATCTCAGACAACACAGACATGGCAACACTCGACGAAAACCAGTGGGTGCATGAGCGACACCCGAGGTCCGTAACGTTTTACGTCAAATATTCATACCATGCAATAAAGAACAATCACCTCGCATTCACCATACTGTATTACAGACTTTACAAAGTTGCGATTCATTATTTTACCATCAGTATATATCACCGACTATATTTTATAAATATTTCTGCACACAAGCCAACAGGACATCTGCACAATACGATGCATCATTTTCCCAATGTCTTCCAACAATTATTGTTGTGTAACGGAGTGATAAGTTTTATCCGATGAGGAGCAAAAGATCTTTAACAGTTCCGATGAGGACCAAAAAACGACGTCATCATTAACAATTCCGATGAAGACCATTTTGAAAGAGGTCATCATCAGTTCCGATGAAGACCAACAATATATATATTGGAGATGTACATAGCATGTTAAAGAAGAGAAGAAAGAAAGAGAGGTAAAATGATAAAAAAACAATAACAAATACACTGAAGCGAGCTTTCAATTTTTACTGATAAATGTCGAATTACTTGCTAGATCCAATAACAAATACAAACATTCACTTTATTGCAAAACTATATATAGCATGTCAAAGAAGAGAAGGAAAGGGAGATCATAGTGATAAGTTGACGAGGACCAACAGAGAAAGATAAAAAATAGGAAAACAATAACAAATACAAGACAAGCTTTGATTTTGTACTTGTAAAACGTACACTATTTTGCAACTTAACAGGACATCTGCGCAATACCATCCTTTTTCCTATGGCTTCCAACAATTGTTGTGTAACGGAGTAATAGCTTTTATCCGATGAGGACCAAAAGATCCACGAAACCGCGAAAGAAGGTGCTCAAATTTGGCATTAATTTTATTTAGGATTTTGTTGTGACAATTTATGTAGGAGTCGCATTTATATACATTATCGATGCCTAATAATTTTAATATCTTCCAGGAAAAAATGTTATAAATAAAAAAGAACTGGTGAAAATTCTATTGGCGCATGGTGATTTTACAGAACAGGTAACGGTAATTAACAGTTCCGATGGGTCCGTGGTCAGCCTAGGTAGGGTGATCGCTAAGTATTCGAAAATGGCGTCTAAACACGAAGTTTTAGAGGCAAGTTGTATAATTTTATGTATCGGGCTTTTCAATGCTGTGGTCTTTTTACTTTGTGTGTTATTGGCGAATGAAACATGATAGGGTAATTGTCTAACGGCAAAATCATAGTCCTTCTTACAGGGTTACCTAATTTACTTGGTATGGTACCTCTACCCATAAAGATCGTAATATAAATGTATGTATATATACTGTTAGTATTTGTATGTTTGTATATTCTTATACCTGAAGCGGGTGAAGAAAGCGAAATATTGCTGGTCAGAGCCGGCAAACCGGCCAATATATATTGGCCAGAAGCTATTCCCTTTTGTAACTTGACAAAACAGGTCAAGGTGCTCAAATTTGGCATTAATTTTATTTAGGATTTTGTTGTGACAAATTATGTAGGAGTCACATTTATATACATTGTCGATGCCTATAATAATTTTAATATGCGGATTTCGTTGAAGAAGTAAATAATCCTTTGTCAGAATCACCTAAAAACAACCGTTGTAGTTGCATTTACAAGGATATGCTGTTCTGTTCCGAAATAACAAATACCAAAACAAAAGATAAATTTTAATTATAGAATAATTGTAGTCCTGTTTCGGCGTTACTGCATGTCATTTTATTGTTTATACATCGCACTTCGCTTGTTTTTAGGATGTTATATTAAGAGGATGAGGACAAGGAAAAAGAAGTAAAAATGTTAAAACAATAACAAATACATGCTTTCAGCATTACTATATCCATTTTATTCCAGAAAACCTCGGGTGAAAGCAAATTAACTCCCAATTGGGGGCATTTCGATGACCGATTTACATCAAGTATTACAGTTATTTATATTACCAAGCTACCATTGACATGTATCTATATATGTGTGATTTGACAGAGTCTCTCGTTACGGTGGATACACCGTGTACAATACGGACATGGCAACACTCGTAATAAATAAGATACCATACGTTCTACATCAAATATTCATGCCATGCAATAAAGAACAATATGGACAAATTTATAATGCATTATTTTATCAATCAGTATATATCACTGACTTTATTATATACATATTTCTGCACACAAGCCAACGCCAACGGGAACTACCATCCATTCCCGAATGGGTTCCAACAGTCGTTGCTGTGCAACGGAGAGATGTAAGTTTATTATTGTACACAATTTGTATAAAAATTTCTTTTTTCAACCTACAGCGTTTAAAACAGTAAACATTGATTTAAGGCTTTATATACGGCCAGCCATGTAGGCAGGCACCTATCCATATTATATATACTAGTGAATCAATACCCTCCTTCACATGAGCGACACCATTGTTGCAGAGGTAAGTTACCATAACAACAACAGAACAGAAATGCACGACGCCGCATAAAACGACGGCAAAAGCGCCAAGCTACCGCTGCCACGCTTAAAAAGGACCGACTGAGAGATGGGAAAATCGAGATGCCAGATGGAAGTCAGTCTACACGACAAGGAGAAACCTTCAGGGGTACAGGCGGTGGTTTTCTGGGTGGAAACAAGAAGATTTATATATCACTAACTTTATTATATAAATATTTCTGCACACAAGCCAACGCCAACTACCATCCATTCCCGAATGGGTTCCAACAGTTGTTGTTATATGGACGACGGCCGAGCAAGAAGAAGCACAGTGGACGTAAAAAACATTAAAAAAAAGAATGAAAAAATCACGTGTGTTCAACTACGAACTATGATCCGGAAAGTGGTAATACCAGAAGGGAAGAAGAAAGCCAGATATTCAACAGTTGTTGCTATGCAACGGAGAGATGCAAGTTTATTATTGTACACAATTTCTATAAAAATTTCATTTTTCAACCTACAGCGTTTAAAACAGTAAACATTGATTTAAGGCCTTATATACGGCCAGCCATGTATAGGCAGGCACCTGCCATCTTATATACTAGTGAATCAATACCCTACTTCACATAATGAGCGACACCATTGTTGCTGAGGTAAGCTACCATAATGTTCTACATCAAATATAGTCATGCCATGCAATAAAGAACAATATGGACAAAGTTATAATTCATTATTTTATCAATCAGTAAATATCACTGACTTTATTATATAGGTATTTCTGCACACAAGCCAAAGGGGAAGCCAGCCAGTACCACCCATTCCCGAATGGCTTTCAACAATTATTATTAAACAACGGAGTAACGTGAGTTTATTATTGCATGTACACAATTTCTATAAAACAATTCAACCTACAGTGTATAATTCAACCTATACAGTGTATAAACAGTAGACATAGGCAGGCACCTGTCCACATTATACTAGTGAATCAATACCCTCCTTGAATGAGCGACACCTTTGTTGCCGAGGTAAGCTACCGTAATGTTCTATACATCAAATATTCATGCCATGCAATAAAGAGCAATCATGTATTCATCGTACTGTACTATAGACTTTACAAAGGTACGGATTCATTATTTTATCAATCAGTGTATCACCGACTTTATTATATAGATATTTCTGAACAGAAGCCAACAGCAACGGGGAAGCTTTTTCACCCATTTTCTAATAATTTCCAACAGTTGTTGTTATGTAACGGAGTAATGAAAGTTTTTTTATGGTACCCATGCATTCATAATTATCTAATGTTTCATTTTTCAATCTACAGCGTATAGGCAAACAAATGCATATAACGAAACAAAAGATGGTTGATGAAACCGTTGCGAGGTCTCTTTACTCTCTTACTGGCGAAATATTTTGTGCCAAGTATTAATGTATTTCATTTTTAGGTAAACACGTTGTCTGGGCACGAGATGGCGGGCCCAATTGTGTTGTTGTACTTGAATGGGTACGGTACATATATTGGAAACATCAGGTTATAACAAGAATTTAATACCATGCCATGAAGTAAATTACCATAACGTTCTACATTAAATATTCATTCCATGGCAACAAAGAACAATCACCTCGCATTAATCATACTGTACTATAGTTACGATTCATTATTTTATCAATCAGTGTATACAGTAAAACTGTGGTATATATCACTGACTTTATTATAATTCTAGATAATTCTGCACACAAGCCAACAATCCGTTTCCTAGTAATTTCCAACAGTTGTTGTTATGTAACGGAGTATATAATGTAAGTTTACTGTTGTACCCAGTCACAATTGTCTAAAGTTTCATTTTTCAACCTACAGCGTATATACAGTAGACATCGATTAAAAACCTTATATACACGGCCAGGCACGTACTGTCTATATTATACTAGTTAACTATTAAATCAATGCACGCCTTCACGTAATTCAAGATTGTCTGAATCTCTTGGTTATTTCAAAATCATGTACGAAAAGTTATACGGTGACAAATCATTTTCTGTAGCTGCGGGAAACCGGTGGAACGGATTAGGATAACATCTTACACAGAAATGGATTACTGGGGCTGACAACATAGGTGTGCGGGAGGGAAATTAGGGCGGCGGCCCAAGATCTGCCCGACCTCAACTCAAATTCTTTTCGATGTATATTTTCTATTTTTAGTTTTATTTTTTCCATTCCACTTAAAAGGACAGCTGCAACTATACCATTCCCCAATGGCTCGATACGGAGGAATCTCTGTATACAACACAGGCATGGCAACACCATAGAAATAATAGATAGCCAGTCGAATTCTTGGTTTTGCCAAGGCGCTGTTTTGCCCGTCGGATTTTTCTATAACCGTTCAAATGCTGTCATCAATGGCGACAGCATTTCGAGTCATGGCGTGGCGGCGGTTACACTTCAGTCTTCATGGCCGCCATGGCTTTTGTGTCTTTTGTTGAGTTGATCCTTTGGAAATGAGCGCAAACGCTCTATACCAATAAAGGTATCTTTTTAAATATGTAATTTTTAGGTCGATGCACTCTCAAAAAGACCAGGGATAGGGGGCCTGGTCCTTGTTTATGTTGATGGCCACGGCAAAATCCAAACGGCAGGTTAGCATTCAGAGTCTTAATATATTAAGAAATCAAGTAGTGTACATTACTGCATGAAGTCAAACATGGTTTCTGGGGGGAAGTTTGAGGGGGGAGCTGTCAAAATAGATGCACTGGAGATGTCAACATAAATGCACTGTTCCAATTCATTATTTTATCAATCAGTATATATCACTGACTTTATTATCTAGATATTTCTGCACACAAGCCAACGGGGAAGTCAACCAGTACCACCCATTGATGATCCGAAAACTCGTAGTACCAGAAGGGAAGAAGAAAGCCAGATATTGCTGGTCCGAGCCGGGAAACCGGCCAATATAATGGCCGGAGGATGTGCCGTTTTGCGGGCTAACGTCCACAAAAGGAGAAAAGACCTTAAAAGAGAAAAAAGAACTAATAAAAATAATGATGGCGTATCTGGATTTCGTCGAACAAGAAACGGTAAACCGCGGGCCAAATGAAAATATAACTACCTCGGATGATCAAGAATTGCGCGGGGCATTGCAAGAACTAAACAACACGATTTACCACTACACTGATGGATTTGATGTTGGAATCGATATATGTAGCGTAGGTTAAAGTGGTTAAATTGAGACGTTATGGCATAGGTAACCCAAACACATTGTGCGATTTAAATTTAAATGCTTGGCATACTCAATTACCCCCTGCGGTATCGATTTGAAAATAATAATGTTAACGATTAGCTCAAAAATATTCTGAATTTTTACACTAAAATGTATCACTAATCAATAGTTATCGTTGAAGGAAATATATACTAGGTACATAGGATGTATCAGCAAAAAAACATAGTTTATACCTTTAGAAGCACTTGAATAACATGCATGCCTGCAGATTTATATATTTATTGTATACATAACATTCATTGTAGGAACTGTTGTAGTCGCGTTGGCGAGACAAGAATTAAAATGAAAAAAAAAGTGAAGAGCACTCAAGTAATGTTTAATGACTTCAAAATGCTATTAGTGTGTATAGGTTATTCAGTTTATTCACACAGAACGCAAGTAATTTTTAATACGATGCTATACATAAAGAAGACAGCGAAAATCTCGAGGTACCGCAATTGGAGATTAATTACAATCAACTGGAGGACATAAAAATGAATGCAGGGAGAAATACGACCAAACCATGTGGTTACCAAAGAAATGAAAAGGCAAAAACCGGTCCTGAAGAGTCTGGTGGCATCGTTCGGGCTTTGAAGTAAGTTTTTTTCGAAAAATTGGGCACAGAAGTAAGCCAAACCAATTAATACAATTTCAATGTTGTCTTCTTTTACAGAGAGAAACAGGACCATGCACATCTGGTATAAGACGATTTGCTCGTCTGTAAATTGACTATACTGTTCTCTTCTATTACAGGGAGAAGTAGGACCACACCTAGTACTAACAAGAAAGGTCGAGAAGCGATGCCCAGAATTAAAGAGCCTGGTAGCTTCATTCGGGGTTTGAAATAGGGTTTTTGGAGACACTGGGCACAGAAATAAGCCAAACCAATACAATTTCAATGTTGTCTTCTTTTACAGGGAGAACAGGACCATGTACACCTGGTATAAGACGATTTGCTTGTCTGTAAATTGGCTATACTGTTGTTTTCTCTCACAGGGAAAAATCGGGCCACACCTAGTACACACAAGTGAAGTAAAGAAGAGACGACCTGAACTAAAAAGACTCGTAGCATCATTCGGGCTTTGAAATAGGGGTTTTCGAACATTGGGCACAGAAATAAGCCAAACCAATACAATTTCAACGTTGTCTTCTTTTATAGGGAGAAAGAGGACCAAACCTTTGGTGGCATCGTTCAGGTTTGAAATAGGGTTTTGAAAAAGGTTTCAGGGACCCTTAAACGTCTGGGGGTAATGGAGACAAAAAGAATAAGGTGATCATTATCACTTTCGATGAGAACCAGAAGAAAGAGGTCATCATTATAAGTTCCGATAAAGACCAAAAGGAGGAGGTAAAATTATAAAAAAAAATACAAAAACAATTAGCTTTCATTTTAATCTAACTCTTCTGCATGGCATTACTATCTTTTTTAATTTCAGAAACATTGCTTCAATCTCTTTTTGTAGGGTAGAAAAATATTAAATATCTATGGCAAGGCAAGGGTAATAATCCAATTAATATATTGGCTTTTTCCTTCCGTGACAAGGAGAGATCAAGGTGTAATAATATAATTTTGTAAAACTTTATGCTTCAATCTGTTTTTCTGCAAAAAAGTAAAATATTTGTAATCGACCAATCTATTGGCCGGAAAATGTTCCATATTGCTCACCAACCAAAGTGCTTAAATACAAAAAAGTCCCAAAAAGCAAGGTTTTTCTTGTATATGCATTTCTTATATATTCATAATCAATTTTTGTATATCAAGGGCCTCAGCTTTTGAATGACACCTTTGTTCCAAGAGATCCATATATGAAATAATATGCAGTCTACATATCACAATTTGCACCATATAGGAAGAACAGTGCCAGTAAAAGACGCTAAAGACTTGGCCAAAGCAGGCCAATATACGTGCAGGGAATTGCGTACGCTGGTACGAAAACTGGTGTTACCAGCAAGTATAAACAGTGTTAACATTTTGCATGATAATGCAGGAGTGGTACGTAGGAGCAGATACAACCACCTTGAAGGACGAAGGTCCTTTCGGGCAAGTTCGTAAGCAAACGGCTACTATAAAGGCCTAAGCCTGTTTGCATGCATGGTTCAAGAGAGTAAAAAACTAGCGAGTGTTTACGTGGGTTACCCTACAACTAGCCAACTGAAATATCAGACAGAGGTTTTTTACCAAGCTGTGCTGAGTGGCTATATTACTACCTTAGAAAAATAAGCAGAAACTCGACGTTTCGAGCGAAGGCCCTTCGTCAAGAGTTAGTAACTCTTGACGAAGGGCCTTCGCTCGAAACGTCGACTTTCTGCTTATTTTTTAAGGTAGTAATATAACCACTCAGCACAGCATTTCTACATTGGTACTACCCACACTGGTACAGACAGTTTTAGTTTTTTTACCATGGACTGAGCGACGAAGGTGCGAGGTCCATGCAAAAAAACAGAGGTCTGATATTTCACCGAACAAGCGAGGTCAATAATCGGTTTATTATATGGCTGAACTGAGTACTAGTTCCGATGAAGACCAAAAGAAAAAGGTCATCATTATAACAGTTCCAACGAGGACCAAAAGGAGGTCATCATTATCAGTTCCGATGAGGACCAAATGAAAGAGGTCATCATTGTCAGTTCCAACGAGGACCAAAATACGGTCTTCACCACTTTTTGTCCCAACTAAAGATGGCCACCGCACAAAAAAGAAGAATTTACCGGGTCAAGCGAACGCAAGCGGCGGCCAAAAATCTGCCCGACCTCATCCTAATTTTTTTTTTCAATGTATACCGTATCTTCTATTTTTAGTTTTATTTTTTCATGGCATTGGTTTTTGAAGACAAAGCCACTGGTACAAGTCTACAAGATTTCAAGCTAATTATGAAAATCAAACAATCATTTTACCAAAGGAAACGTCGCAAAGCGGAAGGAAACAGTGCCTGTAATTGAAGATCCAACCAAATTGACTTGTCAAGAATTACACACACTAGTGTAAAAACTTGTTCTAGCAGTTAGGCCAAACTAGGCCTTTAAAAGCTTTTTATACAACAATTTTCAACCATATAGGAAGCACAGTGCCAGTAGAAGACCTGGCCAAAAAATAAAATACTTGTGGCAAGAAGAGGCCAACAAACCAAGCTATTGGCCGCAGGATATACCTTTTTGTTCTGTAACGAAAGGAGAACAAGGTGCTCAAATTTACCATTAATTTTGTTCAGGATTTTGTTATGATAAATTATGCAGGAAAAAAAATATCACATTTATGTACATTATCGATGCCTAATAATTTTAACATCTTCCAGCAAAAAATATTCTTAATAAAAAAGAACTAGTAAAAATTGTGTTGGCTTGCAAGGATGAAAAAAATAAAGTAAAATCTTGAAAAAAAAAAGTAAAATCCACAACAATACAATTTTGTAAAACTTTATGCTTCAATCTCTTTTTGCAGGGACGAAAAAAATGAAATTCTTCTGGGAGATGGAGGCCAACAAACCAATCTTTTGGCCAGAGAATATATACCTTTCTGTTCTGTGACGAAAAGAGAACAAGGTGCTCAAATTTAGCATTAATTTTGTTAACTAGGCCTTTAGCCTTTTATATCACAATATTTACCCATATAGGAAGCACAGTGCCAGTAGAAGACCTGGCCAAAGCAGGCAAATATACGACGTGCAAAGAAATACGTACACTTGAACGAAAACTCGTGCTACCAGCAGGTATCAATGCAGAGTAGTACGTAGCTGCAGATACAACCACCTTGATTGGTCCTTTGAGAAGTTAATAGTCAAACGGCTACTATAAGGGTGGTCATGTTTGCATGAGGGTCCAAGAAGGTAAAAGGTAGCGAGTGATTGCGTGAGGTTGTGTTAGAGTTTTAGCCGATTGTAACTTCCACTGAAGTGGCTGAAGTGTTTTTGATCACAAAAATGAACACCGTCATTGGAAAGTAAGCTCTTAAAAACAAATGCAGTTGCGTTTACAACGAGATGCCGTTCTGTTCGCCATCGGCACGAATAGGTAACTTACTTGATCATACTAGGTATACATACTTTTATATATTCTATATTAATGCTAAATTTCAATATCTTCTAGGTGAAAAAGATGGCTTAATATTTTGTGCGAAGTATTAATTTTATCAGTTGCAGTTACGGGGCATATCAGTTATAACAAAGATTTGGAACACTCGGCGAGAATGAATGGGTGAGCGACACCATTGTCGACGTGTTGCTAAGTAACCATAACGTCATACAAGTATTTATAACAGCAAATACAGAGACTAACTTTCATATTTTAATCAAAAGTTGAATATATTATTAAGGGATGGACCAGTCTTAGCCCTTTTAAGCATGACTGTACATTTTATTCCGTAAAACCTCAAGTGAAAGCAGAAACATAGAGATGTATAATTATATATTATTCAGATCACTTCCCCATTTGGGCTTTTTCAATGCCCGATTACATCCCACCAGTATATTACAGTTATTTATATTATCAAGCTGCCATTGACATGTATCTATATCTGTGTGATTGGACAGAGTGTCTCGTTACGGAGGATACGCCGTTTACAACACCGACATGACAACACTCGGCGAAAACCAGTGGGTGAGCGACACCATCGTCGACGTGTTGCTGAACTAAGTTACCATAACGTTCTACCTCAAATATTCATGCCATGCAATAAAGAACAATGTAGACTGTACAAAGTTACGATTCATTATTTTATTAATCAGTATATATATCACTGACTTGATTATATAAATATCTCTGCACACAAGCCAACGGAAAATACCACCCATTCCCGAGTGGCTTCCAACAGTTGGTACTATAATACTAAGTTTATATTGTATAATTTATACCGAACTTTGGTGAGACAATTTTATGTTGACTATACGGTATAAGTACCCCAGCTACATGTACTTGTAGTTGCTATGTATATTATAGGTGTAGTGATGAATACATTTTAGTTGGGTATATTATATAATAGCGGTCTTTACCACTTTTTGGCCCAACTAATCAAGATGGACACCCCAAAAAGGTCAATATACAGGGTATTATAGTGTCTTCGTAATAGAATTCGCGACAAGCATTACAGAAGGGGAAATGTTCAGGAAAAACTATTTATCATGCAATGAGCTACTGCTGGCTCATTCTTGTGTACTTTAAATTATTTATCGTGAGACATGGTTTCTACAACGTGCGGGCTGCCAATATACTGTAGGTGCGGGGGAGGGAATTTAGGGCGGCAGTAAACCAACACAATAGCTGGAACCATGCGATCTTTCCATATTCCACATCGGATAAAAGATTGACTAGGATTCTCAAAAATATTAATTTGGCTAAATTCCTGGACTCTCATTCTGAAGCTAAATAAATGTTCTGCCTTTTTAAGGTTACAGGACACCTTTTTTTGCGTTTTGCGGAAAATCGCTACTGCGCGCTCAATATCAGTCCGATTTTCATCAAATTTTCCCAAATGTTCTCCAGTGCATGCAAAATATGGTGAAGTTGTAAAATTAACAAACAATGAAATAATGTAAGAATTACTCAGGAAAATCTTAAATCGCGGTCCCGTTACGCTTTTGAGTTATGTTCCTGCTGGTTTTAAGTTATATTTATGAAAATATCATTTTTATACAGTAAAATAGTTGTTCTAAAAAATTGTGTTCGGAAATTTTTGTTTATTTCGTCATTCCGCTGATATGGCGATTTCTTTGACGACTGCAATATATTTCTGAATTGTTTTAGTAAATTGCTCTTTATTTTTAAAATATCCAAAATTAAAAAAAAGTCGAACACAATTTTGAAACTGACGTCTTTAGCTATGTCCTGTGAAAATTTGAGAAAAATTGGTTAAAACCCGCGAGAGCATAACTCGTTTGAAAATCAGTAATTACCGTAAAATGTTTCGGGAGAAAATTGAATTTGAATATTACATTTTCAATGTTTTTCTTATTGCAGCGAAATGTATTTTATTAAATAACTCTGCGAGTTTTCAACATTTTCCGTTCAAACTTGGTCAGATAGTAGAACTAGTCTAATGCTTTCATGGAAACCAATAAAAAATTTTTAGGCAAAATTAACACTCAAAGGTGTTCTGTAACCTTAAATCACAGGTTGCCAGACAGACTGCAACGACTGTGGTGTCTATTTGATCGAATACCGTCCGACGCAACACCAAGGGGTAATGCATATTCAGACTAATTTGACTGACTTTATTATTACATAGATATTTCTGCACAGAAGCCAACGGCGAAGTACAGCTGCAACCATATCATCCATTCCCTAATGGCTGCAGGAATGGCATCTCCGTCTACGAAACCGATTTAATTGGCAACACTCGACCAAAACGTGTGGGTGAGCGACACCATGCACAATAGACGTGTTGCTGTAGCATCTATAATTATATAACCTTTTTTTAACCATATAGGAAGCACACTGCCAGTAGAAGACCTGGCCAAAAAATGAGATACTTGTGGCAAGATGAAGCCAACAAACCAATGTATTGGCCGCAGAATATACCTTTTTGTTCGGTAACAAAAAGAGAACAAGGAAAAAATATTCTCAATAAGAAGGAACTGGTGAAAATTGTGTTGGCTTGTAAGGATTACATGGAGGAGGTAAGCAATCATTTGTTGCAATGAATGGAATCGCACCAGTGAGACAAGCGTTGCATTTGTAAATCATATGGCGTAATGGTGATTCCATGCAGTTGTGTGAAACTTTATGCTTCAAATCTCTTTTTGCAGGGACAAAAAAAATGAAATACTTGAGGCAAGATAAGGCCAACAAACTAATCTATTGGCCGCAGAATATACCTTTTTGTTCGGTAACAAAATAAGAAATAACAAGAATTATAAATAAATCTGCTATATGAAGTTTCGTTTTCATCTGTGTTTGTATGTAACTGTACTTAAGTTACTTAATTAGTAATTTATCAGTTGATTTTTAAGCGAATAAGTTGTCCGCCAACGATTTGGCCGGTCGGTCCGGCAGGAATCTCCGTCTTCAACACGGATATTGCAACACTCGACAGCAATGAGTGAATAAGCGACACCATTGTCCAGAAAACATTGGGCAAAAGCAGAAACATAAAGATGTAAGTGACATATATTGTTCAGATGACTCCCCATTCGAGTTTTTCAACGAGTGGCTCGATATATACGAAGGAATCTCAGTTTATAACGTGTATGTCATTCAGTCTATTTGCACATAACAAAAGTATTTTTTAGTGATGTCCGGAGGTAGTCCAGCTCCTGGAACTTGCCGATCATCTGGAGGACATAAGGAGCAAAAAAAAGTTCAATGAATTACGAGAACTCGTCGTTCAGATGGTCCTACCAAAAACAGCACTCACTGGTAAACATCGCAAAACGAGCGTATACCAATAACTGAAATTCAGGCCGGGCTGAAAACCCCTCATGCAGTAATTATCGGATATCCCCTACAGTAAATAACTTAAAATAATTCTTTGTTTCTGATATTTATAGAAGCGCAAGGCCACAGTTAAAGGGATACTTTTCAAACAGTGTGGTAGGGCACGCCCAAGAAAAATGACCGTGGCGTCTTCGTCATCGAATACGTCAGAAGCAATACCGAAGGGGTAATGTTCAGAACTTTATTTGACTTACTTTATTATATTGATATTTATACACCAAAGCCAACAGGGAAGAGACACAAGCTGAATCACATTATCAACAGGAATGGCCACCTCATGTTCTGGAAATTTCACAGTCCACGTTTGCAAATGGGGCAATACATTAATTAACACATATACAGAGTACCAGCCTGTACAGTATGCAACATGCAAAAGCCAACAGGGAAGAGACACAAGCTGAACCACATTATCAACAGGAATGGCCACCTCGTGTTCTGGAAATTTCACAGTCCACATTTGCAAATGGGGCAATACATTAACACATATACCGAGTACCAGCCTGTACAGTATGCAACATGCAAGAAAATTTTATGTTGTATTAATACAGGTCATAAACAGCAGGTTACTAATCAGACCATGGTACGAGATAGAATAATAAAAATACAAAGACAAGCTTTCAATTAGGGTATAAGCAGCACTTCCTAACTCATTCGAACGATCAGAAGAAGATAGGGTACGTATTAAAAACCAATCAGAGAATACAAAGAAAAGCTTTCAAGCAATCTGCAAGAAGGATCTTGACACACACAAAGTAATGGGAAGAAGTTATGCACACTATGTGAATTCCAATAGAAGTTACACATGTGTGTAAAATGGACCAGTAATGGTACTGTAATTATTGAATAATTAACCATTATTAGGAGAAAGCCTCACAAATGTAAATATGTACGACTGCCTGCCTGCTCACAAACCATAATACAGTAAGCTTGTAAATGTCTGTTACTATAATAAAGCTAGTCAGAATTTCAATTCAAGTTGTAACCATAATATTTGGCTTGTTGTACTGAGTACATACCATGGAATTTACAGTGCATATAAGTATGTAATTATGATACTCTTGGCATAACACTATAAATTAGCACTAAAACTATAAATTAGCACTAAATTATTTTATATAGCCAATTTATAAAACTCATTAACATAAACTTTAATTTCAATTAATTGGTATTAGGTATTGTCTAAAAAATACCTTGAAAGGTTATTTCAAGTTGAAAACTTCAAGTATAGATTTTTAAACAATTTTAGACTGGCTGAATAATTGAGCTGAAAAGCAGATGCAAAAAATAGAATTGTAAGCCAATTCTGGCAGAAATCATAGCCCTGTGATTCCAGTGCATTAACTCTTTTAAACCAATACTCAGTAGAATGTTATAGAGTAACAGAGCCAATTGATGTAGTTATCGAACTTTTAAAGTGCAAATTCACAAACATACAGTATACTATAGGTATATAATGCCAGTGTAATGTACCGGTACTGTATTAATATGTAGATGCGATAGGATTTATTATTTATGGCTGCTCAGTTTGATTGTTCAGTTTGAGCAACAGAAAACGTTGTTTGTAGTTTTGACAACCATGTATTATCACCAAATATTTAACAATTATTTGCCCGAAGGCGAGTTGATTATTGGGGGATATTCGCAGAGACGAAGTCAATTAGGTGAATATTCCCCTATAATCACCAAGCCCAAGGCGAATAATTGTTTTAGTATTTTGGCACAAGTTTTTTGTGTTTTTCTGATCTGAATTCCTTTTAATTTCGCTTATTTCTTTATTTATCACTAATGTCAATAAAATGGTTAGCCGCCAATTTGAAAATTTCGATTTTGTTATATTCACCTGTAGGTGATTGGTTAAATTTGACCAATCACCTTGTAGGATTTGTTATGTTCACTTGACATTGTACAAAAACTAATATTCAATGTTTAAGGGGTTTTCTTGCGGATCAGAAAACTTGATTTATGTGGCTTCAACATTTAGTTATAATTTAAAGGCAAGGCTGCATAATTACCCATTTTTGTCTTTAAATGAATGACTTGTAGATCAACTAGCTCCTAACATTATCTTTATATTTGATCTAGTCAAATGATTACTTACGTTTTGACATAATCCACACAGTAACATATTTTGCTGAGCTCCTTTTGTTAATTGTATGCCAGCTGCACCTTTTCTATTTTAATTATTGCCATCTATATAGATAATATAAAAAGTTAATAATATTAAAGATAATGTATAAAATACATGTTAGTTAATGACATTGTAATTCTTCACTGAAATAGATAAAACAAGGTCACCTAATTCACCTTTTAGTCTTGCTGGGGGATGACAGAATGGAATGTTCTTATGTTCTCTCTTCTAAATGTTTTGAAAGTACTAATTGGTATTCCAGTTTTTGCTCTTTTTCAATTTCTAAACAAAAAAAGACTTAATTTTAATTTTTTAAAGGCACTAATTCCAATGATACTAATATTAACCAATGACTCACTGGCAAGATCAATTGAGTCACATTGCACACCCCTGATGAACAATCTATTTAATTACAGTATACTCTGTCTTAAAAGCCAGATGAGTTTTACTCATCAACTGGGGCTTTAGGGAGCATTCATTTTTTAGCTGGGGGGGGGGGGGGGGGGG